TTTCCCCGCCCCCTCCTGCTCCCTCACTCCTTTCCCCGCCCCCTCCTGCCTTCTAATCCACTTCCGGTCTTGTGTCTGTCATTTCCATTCATTCGCTTCCCTCTGCCAGGGCTTTTTCCGCAGCCTCCACCCTTCTGGTTTAAACTTCCACGTAGTCCCATCTCTTCTCTCCAGCTTCTTTTTTAATAATCAAATCCTACTCCCTGCCCCCCCTCCTATTTTCTCTCCCATCTCCCCTGCAAACTGTCCTCCCTGATCCATAACAGATACCTATTCTGTCCTGTTTGAGTTTCCTCAGCCACAGTGAATTCGTTCCCGTTAGCCCTGTGCTTCTCTCTCTGGCAATTTTTATAAAATATTTCTATTTTGATTATGTTTTGCTTTTTCCACCAACCTTGAGAGCTTTTAGTCACGTTCTTCAGACAAAATTAAAAAATGCCGCAACAGCAGATTTGGCTCTTTTCCTCTTGGCATAGTTTAGCTCTTTAACTTAGTATTTGTTTGCATTCTGATAGTGTTGCTTAGGTGCACGCTCTGGAAAGCCACTGTGGAGATTCGGAAGGCTGGTTATCCTAGATCAGCCAGTGGTGACTTAGTATAGTTCAGTGATCTGAACTCAAGTTCTTCATAATCATAAAACTATAATAAAGTATTAATTACATATTTTCTTCAGGATAACCCACACTGAAGGTGCGGTGAGAATTTGGATTCCACGTGTTCTGTTACTCTGGCACTGATACACAAACTCATGGGTTTTGAATGTCAGTGGACTTAAGTTTTAGGTAATTTAGAGAACGTCAGCACTTTCGTGCCGTGTACTGAATCAGCCTGAGTGTTTGGGGTCCGTGGGGAAGGGTCCCTTCCAAGGCAGCGTGAGGTGATTCAGGGGTGGGAGAGCTGGCTGGGAATGCAGCCCCTGCAGCGCGGAAAGCCCAATGAGCAGCGGGCCGCTGGGTGAGCTTCGGATTGTGCAAATGCTGCTTGAGTGTCCACCTTTTTAAGTTAATTCGCTTTAAAAAAGGTTATACAGAGTCAGGGTCACAAATCAGTTGACACATTTGCTAAGACTTGTGGCCTGTGGGCTTTAAAAAAGGTTATACATACTCAGGGTCCCAAATCAATCACCAAATTTTACTTTTGTAAACAACATTGTTAAGGCCAGCTTCAGGCATACAATTCCATCCCATAATTTTGGCTAATATACCTGAAATAAAAGATAGGAGCAGAATTAGTAAGTCCAAAGCTTTAAAGATATGCTAGGCAATTGTTTTACAAATGGGTGTGTGAATGGATGGGCCATTTAAGAAGGTAAAAATCAAATTTAAATAACCACGTCTTCTACGTTCCATGCCTTGTGATCCTCAGAGAAGATGAAAAACAGGAGGAAAAATTAACGGTATAGATGATATAGTATTTTACTGTCCTTTGTAAGAGGTGCTGGTAGTTAAATTGGGTGTTTCAGAATAAAGCTTTAAATTTTATTTTAAACTCAGATGGCTACCCCTTCATTCCTTGTTCAAAACTTTTTGATGTCAGTGAAATTTGAAATAAATTTTATGATGTTCATAAGCAAAGGTTAAAGTCATAATATTTGTAAAAGTTGTTGTACCTACAGATACCTAATGTTATTAATACTATTCTTTGCTTTTTCTTCTTCAGAAAACTGCCTTCCACAGGAGCCAGACACTGGGCTACAGGAATGGCTATGCAGTTGCACGACGCCCAACCGTTGGGATCGGTGGGGACCGGCTTCAGGTCACCCCGCTGTCCCAGGCCCAGCTGGAGGAGTTGGCCAGTAAAGCACCCTTCCTCACCTACGGCCCACCCAAGCAGGCTCCACCTGCAGAGTTTATTCCTGCATATGTGGCTTTTGACAAGAAGGTATCATCTGGGATTTTAGGGCACCCACCCCTTGAATTTGAATGTCTGTGCGCCAGCTGCTCACTGAGAAGTTAACAGTAAACCCCAGGGCTCCCAGGACTCTAGGAGGAGAAAATTGTTCAGATGCCTCAGCCCTTAGTCACAGACAGCTGAACTCGGGCTTGAAAGAAGCTTTCTTTAGTCAGGAAGCTGATTGCAGAAAATAACTCCCTGTAGACTCCACTGGAATATTTTCCAAATACTGTTAAAGAAAAGGTATGG